AATGGAGAAACAAGATCGCATAAAAAAAAAACTGGTGGCCTTTGTTTACCTTTCCACAACATACCCTTTCTTCAGAACTGGAATCATAAATTTAACACTCATTGTGTATGGGCCATTTAACTACTGTGCATATATCTATAAATTATTCAGGTAAATTATTTGGGATTAGTTTTTTTTATTAATAAACTGACAGTAGTTTCCGTGTCCCCCTTGACCAATTGGTATAATGGAATGTACCTTTTCAACATTGGGAGAGTCCCTATTATGCCTTCCCAACTGATTGTACAAATCACACTTCCTTCTGAAGTCTTTTTTGCCTGTATTTGGTATTAGTTTATATTGCTAGGCTTCTTAATTGTGGTCAGTCTGACTGATACTAAATGGTCCCTTATTTTAATTGGCTTTTGTGATTTTAGGAAGGTTGCATGATATTTCTATGCCTATTAGCTATCAAATGCCCATTACATTTGTCTACTTTTTTTTGCATTGCTTCATTCTTTCCCAGTGGGTTGGTTGGAGACTGAGAATGTACATTACCTACCATCTTTTGTTATTTGTGTGCACTGAAAGTTCCCTAGAGCTAGCGCTCACTTTTAAGTTGTGTATCCTTGTGTGGAAGGTCTAAACTTTAATGTGGTTTTCTGCATTGATCGTTCTTTATGGCAGGTCTTTGTATCTTATTCTAAGAATTGTTTCCTTGACCAGTTAGGTCATATGGGTAGCTGCTCATGTGTTTTCCTAAGTGTTTTGTTTTTAATTTTTGTTTTAATCTACTTTGAAGCTATTTGTATGAATGGCTTGAAGGAAGTGAATCAAACAAGATTTCTACATCAGGATAGTCAATTGCCTTAGACTCTTGGTGTTGAGCTCCTCCTCTCCTCTCCATAGCAAGTCACACGGCACCTTTGTTAAAAGCCTACCTTGGACATTCCTGGACTCTCTGCTCTGTTATCCTGTTTGTGACTGATATTTTAGTGTTTTACCTTCCTTAGCTACAAAAACACTATCAAATGGCTAGTACCAGCATTAGTCATCTTCAATAGAAAATTTTCTGTTTGTTTATTTATTTATTTACTTATTGGTTTTTTTTTATTTGCTTAGTAATTACAGTTCTTCTTAAGTTACACAGCAAAGGTTGATAAATGTATTCAGTATTTTGGAAAATAATGACTGTAGGTGTGCTCAGGGTTCAACTTACCAAGAGGGTCTTTACACCAATTCATTCAGACATGTTGAGGCTTTCTAGTTTACATGTGCTGTAAGTCTCTCAGAATGTTCTCTTTATTCTGAGACTCTGTACATTCCCTAAATGTTTTTACTGAAGATCGTATTATCTGCAGTTAAAAAGTTCATCCTTTTAAAATAATTATTTCAGTGTTGAAGTAGACATAAGAAAAATCTACCTCTTGATTTTTTTTTTATCTTTTTAAAAAATAGATAAATGGAGTATTAAATTTTTTTTTTCTTTCACAGAAACCCAGCCAGAGGTCCTCACTGACCTTTCCTTGGGAACATATTTACTGGTTAGTTCTGTTAATGTTATACATTGATTTGTGTTCTCATTCATTCTTCAGTATTTAGAGGCCAAATTTTTCTAGAACTTTATGTAGATTTCCAGAAACTTTTTGTTCTGTTAATCTGCCTTGGTAACAAATCCAAGCGGTCTTTATATGTTGTATCTTTGCAGTCAACTAACCCTTACAGTCTGCTCCACTAATATGACAACACTAAGTCCTACTGGTCTACCTTGTTCTTTTTTTTTTTTTTTTTTTTTTTCTATATTGCTCTACCTGAATCATAGAAACTTCACATGCTGGGTTGTCACATGATCAGAGTGTGGGTAGAACTCTGAATGGCCAGCTCATTCTCATGAAGTTTTGGACCAAAAATGAGGAAGATATTGGAAGCAGGAGAGAAGGTGTCTTTGTTAAAAGGGGCATATGCCTCAGCTGATTGTGTCCCTCTCTTGGTGCTTTGTAGACTGCAGAATGTAAGGACAGTGAGGGCCTGGCTGGCAGTATTCCTTTACTGTTACTGATGCTCAAGGCACTTGTGTGCGTCTTTCTTTTCTCTTCAAGTGCAGCTGAGTGCCTGCAGTGTTGTACAGTAAACTTGCAGCCAGAAGGGAGGACTGGGAGGCCTGGGGCTGACATAGGGAGGAAGTTTTGGCATTTGCTGGAGTTTGCTGGGACTCTCCCTCCACAGGGTCAGTGTGCACTCCGAGGTCTGAAGCAAATCAGATGGATAAAGCACAACAGGAAGTAACCCAGAGGCTTCTGTTGGTTGGCATTTCTTTTGCCACAGTGCCCAAACAGAGAGACGATTTAAAGAGGAATGATCTTGCTCATAATCTGGGAGGTTTCAGTCTCTCTTCCTGGGGAAGACAAGGTGGAGTAGCTCACAAAGGATGTTCAGGAGTGGCTTAATTCACTTTTGATGCTATAATAAATACCGTGATCAAAATGAAAGTGAGGAAGAAAGGGTTTACTTCACCTCACAGTTCTAGATCGTCATGCAGAGGAGTGAGTGGGAACTCAAGGCATGGACAGGAGGTAGGAACCTATTCAGAGACATGGCTTGACAGCTCCCTGACTTCTGCTTAGCTACCTTTCTTATGTAGTCCAGGACCACTGTGTAGGGATGGCACCATCTGCAGTGGGCTCAGCCCTTCCAGCTTAATCATTAATCAAGAAAATGCCTCACAGGCCACAGGCCGGTCTGAGAGAGGCAGTTCCTCAGCAGAGGCTTCTTTCTCCCAGGCGACTCTAGTGTGTGTTAAGCTGACAATAGGAACTAGTGAGAATAGAGGGTCTTCCTCATTTACCTCACCTTCTCTGGAAATCCCCCACAGACATACCCACAGTTTGACCTAACTAACCCCCTCTTATCTTCTCAAGGTGAGGAACACAGGAGCTCCTATGGTCGCTGGGATTTAAGAGTCCTTTCCACTAAAATGCTTGGCTCCTGGCTTATATCTGGTTACAGAGTAAGACAGTGCCTGTAATCCAGCCACCACATGAACTTCTAAGCAGAATCTGGTAGGAGGGGAAAGCCAAACCTGTCACATCTGTAAGTTACCGCCTGCACAGAACTTCACCCAGGGTTCACCTGCTGTCCTTAATGAACAGCATGGTTTCATCTGGCTGCAAGGACATTTTGGGGTTTTGTTGTTGTTGTTGTTGTTTGCTTGTTTTAAAGCCATGTATTTTGCAATTCAAATAAAATCAGGTCTGTGTCATTAAAGACAGTGCTTGTTGTGGAAGTGATGCTGTTTGAGGAGCAATCACCGCTGTCAGTATTAGACAAGGTGTTGGCATTTAGAGTGAGAGAAACTGACATGCTGAGTTAAGGCAGAAACAGTAGGAATGGGAAGTAAGGTCAGAAATGAATTTTGGCAGAGGAGCTGCAAGTCCCCAGCAGTCTTTATTTTTTATTCTTTTGCTTGAGAAGACATGTCCCTTTTGCTTTAATTCTACTAATATCCCTTTTACTGAATCCAAGGTCACTATGCTAAATTTAGTTGGTAAATATTGAAATAAACTAAGGCAGAGAAGTTTGTGCTTCAAAATCTGAATATATTTTTAAATGTATTTCTGAAAGTATGTATTTCTCCTTAAAGCTTTGTTTCTCAAAGACAGAAGAATGTAGAAGACATTAGTTAATAAGCACAAAATATCTTTTAAAAATAAGTGCAGCCACTCTTTGCTTATAAACACTCAAGACATATACAAGTCTCTGTCAGAACCATAAGGATGCTTTATCTTCATGCCAGAAACCATCTGCCTTTCCTGTAGATTCTCCAAAAGTCGTTTAAACTTAGCATTTCTCTTCTTACCATACTATGCTTCTGAAAGACAACTTGAGCTGCTTTGGGGGAACCAGATCTATCTTAAGGAAACTGGGTTGTTTTCAGCTGGGTTGCCAAAAAACCATAACTAGAAATCTAAGTACACACACACACAAATATGAAATCAAAAGCTTGTAGGTTTCTAGAATGCTTTGGTTTCTGGAAATGTAGCTTAAGTAAAAGGTGATACCCCAGTCAAAGCTTGAAGAATCACTGAACAGGTCAAGGAAAAAAATAACTCTTGAAAACGAACGCTGCCCCCATTACAGAGAGCAAGCACATCTTTCCTGAGTGTACATCCTGAAGCTACTTACTACCGTGGCCTGTCCACTCAATTGGGCTACTTTGACCATGGCTATGAGGTGAGAGAATGCCACTTTTAGCGTGCTTGAACTTGAGAGGTCATAGGTAAGCAGAACTCACTAGGGGATGGGTGAAGGCAGCTCACTCTGTCAAGCATGAGGAATAACCAGGAACAAAGTCCATTGTAACATCCCTCTGATCAGCCCTGAGAAGTTGAGGCAGACGCTGGATAGACATTAGTCTGTGGAGAGGGCCATGCTGGAGGCTCACTCACACATCCTAACAGAGGGGAACAGCCTGGAGCTTTATGTTAAGGACCAAGAATCTGTACTTTGTATGCTATCCAATTATACTTCTTGTATGTGTGATGACAGCTTATAAGTGTGAACACTATTCTTTTAAAACAAATTTAGTCTCCTGAACACCGCTCTGGGAGAGGGCACTAAAGGGCAAGGAGCTTTCCTGGGGGCAAAGGAATCCTAACGGGGCTTTTGGTGAAGCTCAAGAGACTACCGGAGGCACTGAACATTCACCCAATCTCTCTAGTGTAGAAGCCTTTGAACACATCCATGATGGCTGCCATTGTGTGTCATCTGTAACTACAACTGTGGCTCTTCTGAATGCTATAGAGTACATACACCTGAAGCAGCGATGAGCAGTGCTATAGTGACATCAAGCCTCACTTCTTTGTACCAGTGTTTAGTGTGGTAAAATGACAGGGTCAGGCAACCTTGGGTCGGGAAACCAGTATGAAAAGAAACTGTGGAACGGTTTCATCTGTCACATATTCCAACTGTAATATATGCCTCATCTAGAGAAAAGCATATTTATAAAGCAAAGAGGTCATGTCTCTAGGACTTTAAAAAAAATAATTTAATATTTTTGTTACACCCTAAAGCCCACATACAGGGTTTTTTGTTTTGTTTTGTTTTGTCTTTTTTTTTTTTTTCTGGGAAGGCCAACTGTGGTCCATGGCTGTGTCTTCATGTCTCCCAGTCCATACACTCTTCAGCTCTTCTCTGCTCCATTCTCTGTCCTTTAATCAGGTGCTGGGAGGGAATATAAAGACAGGCAAAATTGTTGCATTAGCTCAAAGTCATACCCTGCTTTGTATTTCTACACAGAATCTGAGGTGAGTCAGGAAATGGATGGCGTTTTTCAAGTCACATGAATCAGCGCCCCAGAAGTCATCATTTTCACCAACTGGTTGGCTTCCCAGCTTTTCTCAAGTTTGGCCTTGTACATAGGCTCACCCGATGCAGCTGGGGCCAGGGAGAGGAGGAGAAGGGAGGGGGAGGGAGGGGGAGGGACATACAGAGAGAATTTTCATTGTGATGACAACAAAACATTCTTGGTAAAATAATACACACGTTTTGTTTTACAATCTGATGATTCAGGTACCTTTAACAAGGAAGGCTTTTTAAAGGTGGAGAGCAACTTTTATTAGAAAAAAGAAATCTTTATATATACTTTAAAGTAATTTCATTTCAGGGTGCCTACTTAAGCCTCAGATATTTTGTGTTTAACAGCTTCTTTCTCCCCTCGTGCTCGTGACTGACATTCCTGATGAGCTGGACCAAGCTGTACAGGAAGACATTAGCTCAGAAAAGTTCACCAACCTTCTGCAGGTCAGTAGCAAAATCATCCTCAGCTCAGAACCATTTCACTTCTGGCGGCTCCCAACCTTCCTAATGCAGTCTCTAGATACCCCCAACCATAAAATTATTTCACTTCTCCTTCGTAACTATAATTTTGCTAATGTTATGAATCATAATGTAAATATCTGATATGCAGAATATCTGATATGGGACTCCTTTGGAAGTGTCATTCACCACCAAAGGGGTCGTGACCCATAGTTTGGAAAACCATGGCTTTAGACCAAGAGATCACTCTACATGAGAATTGGGTTTCTGTACTTGCTTATTAGAGATCTGTAATTCATTATCACCAATATATGAATATTAGTACAGGGAAGTCTATAAATGGCAAAATCGAACCCACTTCCTGCCCCAGTGACACAAATTCACTTTGTTTAGAGGATGAACTCCTATGTGATAATTCTCGTGGTTCACAAGGCTGAGGCCTCCAAGTGAAGAGTGAGTTTCTTTGCCTGCTGGTATATAAGATAAGGTATCCCTAGGTGGCCCCAGGCTGACCTTGAACTCTTGATCTTTCTGCCTCAGAGTGCTGGGAACACAAGCATGGCAGACCTCTCTCTTTTCTTTCTTAGAAAGTGTTTTAAAAAGAAGTGTTAATTGTTTTTTTAACAATTGACTTTGAGGAGCAAGGACAAGAATTAGCTAAACACATTTGAGTCTTAATTTGTCTTTCTTCACCCTGTTAGGCTCCACCAGCCTGTCTGGAGGCTATAGGGTTCAAGTGTAAGGCTGAGATCTTCCACTGCCAGACCCTGGCAGGCCTCCTTCTCCCAAGAGCCTCTCAGGCTGTTGTGTGCCATGCAGGCAAGAGAAGGGTAATGTTGGGAATGGTGCCAGTTCCCACCCACTTCTGAGGCAGAAGAGAGAAGCACAGGAAGCCTAATAACTTTTCCGTTCAAGACCTAGAAGCCAGGAGCTGCCACTGGAGAGCTAGAAGCCAGCCAAACAACTGTAAGAGATGCTCCCTAAAGAAGCCCGGACAAGACACCCGAGTTCAGCCTCTGCTACCCACAGGGCCCACAGTTCCAGACACAGCACACTCTGGGGTTGACACAGGCTCCCATGGACACTTTCAAAACAACTTCACTTAATTCTTTCATTTGAAAGGTGACAGAAACAACAAATTGGTGGCAATTTGTGTTTCCATCGGCCGTCTCTTGAATCTGTGTGGTCCTGGATGAGCTGTGACACATTCCAGTTATTCTTGGGTCCCTGTTTAGCACTTTGGAACCCTGACAAATGTCCTGAACTGTCACCAGTCCCTCCCCCCTCCCTCAGCACATTAGCAACCTGCCAATAGCAGGGTGTGAGTGTGGCCCATAGGGACATCCTTAGGTCCTGCAGCTACGAGGGTCACTAATGTTCCTATTGCAAACACATCCTGAAGCCACCAACAAGGCCAAAGATGGAGGAAAACCATCTTGAATACACTATTCCCCCACCCTATCCTTATGGAAGGGGTCACAAGTGGCTATAGGGAAAGGGATCCAAGTTTTCAGACTTTATCCTGTAACTTTCCCACTCAACAACCCTGCATATTTAGAAACTGCTAAGTTGAGCACTTCCTTAGAAGGGGAACTGAACAGCACATCAATAAAACTACCCTTCCGAGGCATCTGTGTTCCCGTATAAACTTTTTGCCCGAACGCTCACTCAGTAAAAGCCCAAGTTCCTTGCAGAAGTGCCAATTAGCCCAGCTGGCTCTGTCAACGAAGGTACCCTCTCCTGATGCCCATCAGGGCCACTTGGGAACCTCTTGCTCTGTTTCCCCGGACAGCAGATTTGTTCTTTTGTGTGATCTATTCCGTTCAAGTTGGCCGGCCTGAACTAGCTGAGAGCCTCTTGGGCCCAGCTCGTCTGCAAGAATCCGAAGCGACCCCCTCGTCCCCCGTCCCAACTCCCAGTCCTCTCAGGGTGACACAGAAAAACTAAATATTAAATTCCCACCTTCTTCCCACCCGCGATCCGACGAGGGGCGCGCACATACCTGGAACCTAAGCCTTCCCTAGAAGAAGCGCCACGTCTCTGGTTTGGGTTGAACTGCCTCCAGCCCTTTATACAGCCCATCCCGCAAAGTAGCCACGTCGGAGCGGCTGGACAGGGGGTGGGTAGCCAAAGAAGGTCTCTCTGAGGCGAGGAAAAGAGTCTCTAAAAAGTCCCCACTTGGGTGAACTTGCGCTCAGGAGGCACAAATGGGACTCCTGGGGTGTGGAGAGAGCCCCCCGGGGAGTGTGTAGGGGTCCCATCTCGGAAGAGGCGGGGCCAGAGGAGGGGCCTGGGGAGGTCAGGGACGGGTGGGGCGCTCAGTTGGCACCCGGGAGGGGCGGAGAAGGGGAGGGGCGGCGGAGAAGGCGGGACGGGGGCGGGGCGAGGCGGTCCTGTGCTCCCCGCCCCGAGCTCGGGGCCCGCGCACCGAGCGTTGGTCTACTCGCCGGGAAGGCGGCGCCGGCGGCGGCTGCTCCAGCAGTGCCCACTCCCGCGCGCTGCGCTCCCGCCGCGGGTGGGCTCCTCAGCCCCTGGCTGGCCGTGGCCCCTGTTGCGCGGCGGCCTCTGCATCCCACCTTCCCACTACGGCGCCCCGACACGTGCGATCCTTCTTTGGGGTGTTCTCCGTTCCCACGCGCGACTACCAAGCAGAGGGCACCCAACTTTGCCACCTTGCGGGTTGCCCTCGCTTGGTGCGAGCCTGCTCGCTCAGCTGCCCAACTGGAGACTCCGTGTGCCTTGCAGCCGAGCTGGTTGGTCCCCAGCCTGGCGCGCTGCGAGTGGAGGATAGCTCTGGAGAAGTGGCGGGGTGCAGTGGCGTCTGCTGCCTCGACTTCCCTTGTAGCGCGCTGAAGAGGACCCCTGGAGCCGCTCCGGGCCCCGGGGCGCTGGATGATTAGCAGGAGGAACGCGCCCCGCATCTGGTGAGCTCGCTCCCCGCCGGGTCCTTGGGTGTCATAGCTGAGACCCTGCGCGTGCGAACTGGACCCGGGGTAGCATTGGTCCATCTGTGGGTGGCGTAGATCTCGGGCAGGGACGTTCTGCAGACACCTGGGTGGGGACAACCCGGCAGAGGCGCGTGCAGGAATAGGACCACCGTCAGTGCGGGGGCGGTCGCAGTGGAGATAGTGCACAGGCTGGAAGTTTGTGTCCTAGCCTTTCCCCAGATCCAAGCTTGCTCCGGAAAGGAGCTCGAGTGTCCGGGTGTGCGACCTGCCGGTGGGCAAGCCTGCACCTCCGCCAGCACCTCTCAGGTACCCCTGGAGATCTGCGCGTCTACTCCGCTTGAGGCCAGGCTTGCTCGGTGAGAGCTGGAACCGGGTCTGGTGGTCGGAATCGCCTACCTCTCAGCACGGTGGACTCGGGGACATTTTCCTGCTCTCTGTACAGGAGGTTAGCAGTGTTCGTGAGAATCTGAGGGTAGTGGTACTAGGGCTCAACTTAGCTGGGGTGTTTTGCAGAGGAAGACCATAAGGCGGGGGGTTGGGGAGAGTGAGGTCTAGGGACACGGCAGCCGGGTGAACTCCCCTGGTGGAGACCCTGTCCGTTGGCAATTCAGACGCATGCTCTCGCGGGCTCAGGGTCTGGGGCCAGGCGAAGATCCGTGCTCCGGATAATCGGAGAAACTGTCGGTAGGGAGTGATTCCCGAGATTGCCCCTGGTCCTGGGCCTATTGCGGTTAGGTCCCGGTCCCCCCTCCCACCCTCACAGTCCCTCCTCGCTTCCTGGCTTTGGCGGGAAACGCTCTCACCTTCTCTTTTTGTTGTTTGTACCTGGATGCAGTTGCCTGGAGTTGGGCTTTAACTTTCCTGCGCCCGCGGCGTCCCGGAGATCCCCAGCAGGGGGCGCCAAGAGCGAGCTTTCAGAGAGGGCGAAGGGGATGCCACAGTTGGTGTTTCTGTACTGGGCACGTGGGTAGGGGGTCCTCTGCAGAGAGCTAAGACACACATTTTGCCGTAATTTCTCCTCAAAAGGCCAAGGGTTGAGGGAGTGTTCTGTTTGCCACAGAGAGCGTTCAGCCTAGTTAGGCGACAGCAGAGTCGGTCGGAAGCCCTCTATCTGGAAAGGCCTCTTCTTAAGACAAACTCCTACATTCTTCTCTACTCATCTTCTCTGACAGCTTGATTTAACAAGAAGGCAAATGGAACTACGAGAATGTATTAGAGATGTGTGTAATACAGAAAGGAGCACATTGGTTAAAACACCGCGTTAAAAATTGTTGGGGCTTATTTACTTATATTTTTTAAAAAAAACTGTTATGTCCAGGCTTGCCTGGAAAAACCTTGCTTTTGAAGAACGGATGTGTTATTAATTACAGAATTAGTCTTTCATAAGGAAACACAGAAAGGCAAAACTAGACTTATTAGGTAATGTTTTTTAATACCCAATTAAGATCGTTGAATTAATTGCTGGTTAATGCCACCATTCACATTTTGAGAGAGGGCGAAGCTCCTTCCTTGGAGTAAGCTGTTCACAGTTCCACTTAAGGCTTAAGTCTTTAGTCTTCTGTCGTAGATCACTGAAGCAACTTTTCTTTCCCGTGTTTAGTGTTTACTCCAAAAGACGTGTGAATTTCTTTCTGCCCACTCAACTATCTTGTGCATGCTTGATTTACATGAAAAGGCAGTTCTACCTGTAATAGTTTGAAGCACAGATTTCCTTTCCTCTGGGTTTGTTTGTTCTAAGAACTTTTGAGACAGCCCCTCACTCAAGATGCTGCCTGTAGTCACAGTGTGCCCACACAGCCATGGAGTCCATAGTGCCCCCTTTTACACGACTTCAGTCAACACATTTCCTCCCAGAAGGAGGATGAATGATGCTCATCAATTTATGCCTTTAAAGATGCTGCTAACTCATTTGGTTTTCTTAATGGCAAACAGCTGCAGGCTCCCTGCTAAGAGCAAAGACTTTGGTCTTCTGGGTGGGAAAGGCTATCTTTGACCAGAGGAAGTATTTGAGGTGTTCAGAATCTGGTGAAAATAAGCTGGTATTTGTCCCTCCTCGCATCTGCGTCAAGTGACCTCTTACTCATGTCTGCAGAGAATGAAAAAGAGAAATGGGGAGCACAGAGCTGAATGAAATTGACGATACTGAGATGAACACAAGCCTCTAAGCCTAGTTTCATGGACCACCGGAAGTCCTCGCAGCTACTGGCTTCTCAAAGGAAATTCTCTAACTCGCATTAGCCTCTTCCTCAGGGAAAGTTCTTAAAAAATATCATGCCAGAGAGGGTTACCTCACTGAACCATTGCATAGTTTCAGATAACTGGATAATGACGTTTCAGGGCTCTGGATGTCCTTTTTCTTATAGAGTCACCAAAACAAAGGCTTTTTACTGACACAAAGCAGGAAGGAGGAAGAGGATTGGACATAGCTTTGCTAAGAGTCAGGCCAAGGAGGTCAGACATTCTGCTGAATAAATGAGTGAGCATGGACCCCAAGGTTTGCAGATCAGAACCTTACCCTAGAGAAGAGGCTTGTGTTTCAACCCATGCCATGTGCAACACAGAACAAATCACTTCATTAAGTTCTTAGTTGAGGAACCCATTTTTTGACATAGAATATGTACAATTATTTGAGAAAAGCATTTCTACCTTCTATAATAAATCTGCTATAATACTTGATTCTAAAATTATACCAAATTAGTATTATAAAATGTATCTGAAGTTGTTGCTATAGTTACACAGACAAATTGCTTAGGATATAATTATAATACCAAGGTGACAAGTTTTTGTGTTTAATGTTCAATAATGTTGAAAACATAAATTACAGTGTCTAACAAATAGAATTACAACAAAGTATCTAACAGGGAAGTGTCTACATTTCTGCCCACCTGCACCTGCTTGCAAATTTATATTTATATTCTGCAAAGTTAACTTTTCTGGAAACCCCAGATGAGCGCATGTCATTTTCTGAGTTGTTTCTAGTGTCTGTGGTGCTGTTGTCGGCAACATAGAGATTTTCACAGATGTTCCCGGCATCCTTTCTAAATTAGGATGTAAAAGTCTAGTTGAAAATTACTATTTTTACAAACTCTACTACCCTACAGACACAACCTGACACAGATAGCACCTTCTGCTGTTTGTGATTCCCATAGATTAATACCATCATGGAGATTGTGAGGTAGCTTGAAGGAGCAGCTGGTCTACTTGTAAATACAGCACTTATTTTTGGAGGCATTTACATTTTTTATTACGTGTGTGTGTTGTGTACCTGACACAGTGCAAGTATGAAGGTCACATGACAGCTTTGGGAAGGTTCTGTCTTTCCGCCATGTATCTAAGGACCAAATTTGGGTCATTAGGCTTGGTAGCAAGTGTTCTGTCTGTACATGTTACCAACTGTACCAGCCCATTTTCAAGCACTGGTTATCCAGGTGTACAAAATCTGTTTTTAATAAAAAGGAAAGAGGGAAAATAAAATTAATCTTAGGATACATACTCTTTTCTCAGTAAGTCTGTCCAAAATGCTCTTTTGTTCAGAGTTTAAGCAAGACAAAACATAACAAACAAAAAGCTTGATCCAAAAGAAGATATTGAATCCTAAGTAATTTATTTTTAGCGCACTGATAATGACATCATTAATCTGTGCCTTGGTGCCTTGTGGAAGATCCTAGAGCTAGGAAATGTGGCCTCCATTTTACAATGTAGTTTGAAGCAAGACAACTTCAAAGATGAAGTTGTTTTTCACCTGGGGCATGCCATTGAAAACAGGATCAATTGCAGCGGCGGACTCAAACAGTCAGAACATGTTGCCTAAAGTATGGTTGTCATCTTCGTCCTTTCCCTTCTTTTTTAGTCCAAAATTTACAGTTGTTTAACAAGGGCAAAGATGAGCACACTTTATCCTCCTTCTTGATTTCTCAAAAGTTTCTCCATATGCTCGCTAATGCACGTGAAAAAGCAAGTCACACAGTTGCTACTGTGTCTTTGTGTGTTTTAGGATTGGCTTTCTGTTTAGCAACAAATAAACTATTCCAAAAGAAAATACCTTTGTTAAACGATGAATTTTTTCTATATTTTGGTATAAATTCACCTGTTTTTTATCTCCCAGTTTTTCATTCCTTTCCTTTTTGTCTCTGCATTTCTGTGGAATTGGCTGACCTGGAGTTCAAGCCAAGTGACGACGAAGCATACAGCAGAACAATTTTACTTTGTGTTGCATTTTTATGTACATTGAGAGTAAATCCCATTACTGAGAGAGTAATTCAATTACAGATATATATGATAAATAACCGGCCAAGTGATGCTATCAGCAGCCAGTACTATTGGAGAAATAATACTGTATTTTCTGAGATCTAAGATTAAAAGAAAAAGTTGTAGGCAGGTGACAGCGGAGTTGTACAAGGACAACTTGGTCGCAGGCATTAGAGTGCCTTTCATCTGGTCTGCACTTTCTCAGTGTCTGGCAATGGCACATAATACACCCATGGAAAGAAGGGCACTCAAAGACTGCTACACAGCACTTTCTTCTGCTGCTTTGCCTGCATCCGCGGAATGGTGAGTGCTTCACCAGAACTTCTGTTTTGAAACTACAGGAGAGATGCACCTAAGAAGATCTATCCAAGCATCTCACACGGGGAAGATTCCTCCCTGTGAAAACACGCAGACAGACAAAAAACTGGAGCTGTGAGAGGGTCTTCAAGGCTGTGTGCACCAGGCAAGTCAGTGTAGCATTATGGGGCCAACTGCGTTTCAGAAACACAACTGATTTATGATTTTATTCTAGAGAGCTAAAATTTAAGTTTGCTGTGCTAAGGGACTTGTAACCAGTGGCATACAGTGAAAGTAAATAAGAAAATTAAGAAAAGAAGAAATAAAAATCATTGCAGATATTAAACTTCTTCTGTCTAGCTAAGGCTGCAATTCAGCCATCATTCTTTCTGGTTGGCTCAAATGTGTCAACCAACCAGGATTTGCTTTTA